TAAAATAGTAAGGTGGGGGAGCCGGCCAGTGGTGGCACATGCCTTTAAATTCCAGCACTCAGGAAGCAGAGGCAGGCAGATCTCTGTAAGTTAGAGGCCAGTCTGTTCTACAGAGTGAGTTCCAGGGCTGGTTCCAAAGCTATAGAGAAACCTTGTATCAAAAAAAAAAAAAAAACAAAAAAACACCAAAAAAACAAACATACAAAAAACAAACACACAAAAAAAAACAAACACAAACAAGCAACAGCAACAAAAAGGTAGGGTCATCTGGGAAGACAACTGACTTTGAGCTCTGTCTCGTAATCATATCTGTTCACACACGGAGAGACACAGCTACCCACAAATAAACAAAGAACAGGAATTATGTTTTCACCCTGTGCCTACAAAACAGCCTTCCATGTGCTCACGAGTATCCAATGAATATCTGACTGGGAGATTCTGACCACGCTAGAGAGCTTAAGTGTTAAGTGAATTCACGCACTGAAGATCCTACTTGTGAGAGCAGTAATTCTGCGGCAGCATCAGACAAAGAGCACTTTCTGTTTCACACCTCGCCCCAGAAAAACCCCACCTGCCACGCATCCCAGGAACCTCCCACAGTATTGCTCTCTCTATGGCGACGTCTGTTTTCTTCACTTCCTATCCGCAATGCCCTTATTCACCTCTAGGATTAGCCCACTGCCTTGAGATCTTCCATCCTAATAAGTGAGAAGAGAAATAAAATGTATGACACTAAACATAGACGCAAAAGCAAGAGTCTCAGCACTATCCAGTTATCGGGTCAGGACAATATGGAGAGATCAGCCGTAAAGGCAGGACAGCAGCCTTCAAAGGGCAGAGACCTAGGGAATGCCAGTGGAGGCTCTCGGTCTTGGCTTCCACCAGCCTCATTCAGAAGTTACATTCCTTCATTATAGTACGGTCCTTTTAGTCACCTAGGTTGAATCCGTGGGATGATTCCTGGCATCCCCACTTCCCTTTCCACTCACCAAATCTGTTCCACGTTTCATCCATCCAGCCATCCTCCTACACTTGCTTCTCACCAAAGCCACATTATAGATTCCTATCTGGCCTCCCTGTTCTGACATTCCTCTTTCAGGTCCATCCATTCACCGCTAGTGACAGTGATCTGTGTACCACAGGCTGCCCGGGCACTTCTACTTTTAGCACTCGTGTCTAATCTCAGGAATTTCTCAGCTCCAGATTAATGGAGACAACTAGTCACACACTGCAAGGAACTTACAATCTCCCCCAAAACAATGCTGGCAGAAAAACCAACAACACACTCAATTAACATTTATCATTAAAATAAACCCTTAAATCGGGCCCTAGACATCTTCTATAGAATGCAAAACAGTGTATATTAGCCAGGTGTAGTGACACACCTGGAATCCTAAAAGCTGAGTGGTTGAGGCAGGATGATTGTCCTGAGTTTGAAGTTAGCCGGGTCAACACAGTAGATCATACCTCAGAAAAGAGAGATGGAAATAAAGAAATGAAGGAAAGAGAAGGGAGAAGAGAGGAGAGGGGAGGGGAGGGAAGGGGAGGGCAGGAAAGGGCAGGAGAGGGCAGGAGAGGGCAGGAGAGGAGAGAAGTGAGAGAGGGGAGGGGAGGTAGAGGAGGAGAAAAGCATCCTCTGCTGGGAAGATAAACATGAACATTAGGCCGGGCTTCTGCAGCTTTGTGAGCCCTTTAGCAGGTCACTCAGGACAACTAGAAACTGCAGTTTCCTCATCTATAAGTTAAGAAGCTAAGACTAAGCTTCCTTTCAGCTCCCACATTCTCTACCTCTACTGCTAGGAAGGCAGTGATAACTCTCTGCCTTCCCAGACATTGGCACCCATGCTAATTCAGGCCATGTGGGAGTTCTCAACTATGCAGCTTTGGCCTTTGCTTTCTCCCCTTCTCTTCCTACCTGAGTGTTTCAAAGAACAACATAAACTTTGCTTATAAACCTAGAGGTGAAGGAAACCCAGGTCTGGCCCAGAGGATTCCGCCTAGACTTTCTAATTATTGTACACTTAGCAAGCTCCACACTGGTCTTTCCAAATCTTTTCTGTGTGAGGCTTCTTTAGTCCAGTTAGACTAAAATCTTTCTGAACTTTTACGATTCCTTTGCAAAATCTTAGAGACATAGCAAATAATAGCAAGTGTCATCACAAGTAACTGACTGGAGACCAATTACATAATCAATTCTTCAATATGATTATATATTTCATATGTAATTATATCAGCTGGCACCTCTGAGACAAAGCAGACAAGCAGGTGACTCTCAAACTCTTTGTTCCTTGCACAAGATTCTCTGATGTGTCTCACAATCCAACAATTCACTTAATCCTTGAAGATTTACTAAGGCTCTCTATGAGAAGATACTGTGCCGATGTGTCACATGTGTTAGGGAGAAGGAAAATAAGTGGAGGCGTGGGTCACAAACAATATCTCTATGTCACAGAAATCATCAACTTCCAGGTGGTACCCTAACTCTAACCTTTTATTAAGACTGAAAAACTCAGTGTCATGCTGGGCACTGGTCACGCACACCTTGAATCCCACCCAGCAGTCAGGAGGCAGAGGCCTAGTTCGAGGCCAGCCTGGTCCACAGAGTAAGTTCCAGGACAGCCATAGTTACACAGAGAAACCCTGTCTCCAATTAAACAAAATACAAAACAACAACAACAACAAAAGAAGCACTCATCACTTGCCACCCAATATGTCTCTAAAATTGATTCAACAACTACTTCTACTAGCCTGCAGAAAAGAATAGCCATTAAAAATAGGTCAGTAAGACATACGAATAGCTACTTTTACAAGCAAAATACAAATTTAAGACATATTTTCCAAGAATTATATGCTGACCAATGTATAGAGTCCCTAATCTCTACTTAGCTTGGATTTTGTAGAACATATAAACGTCTTTCTTTGGTATGGTATACCTGTTGTGTACCCCTACCCCTATCGGCCTTGGCAAGTGACGATTTCTAAGGATGGATTCGGCTGGAACCTCTGTCTTCCCAGTCCACACAGCGTGTAGCACACACACTCCCTTAATTAATTGGGGCTGAGACTTGAAAAGTGTCACCTACTACAGTGACAAACAGGTTCGTGAGCAAATGCGGGAAGTAAATCAACCGAACGGTTTGCAGAGGGAGAGGTCAAGCTGGAGCTGGGTTGAACTGGGCTGATCTGGGTTGAGCCCAGAATGATTCAGGCCCTACCACAGAATAGGTGTCTCCCAGGATGACTTGGTAGGATAATTAAAAACCCTATAAATAGGATGGATTTCCAAGTCTCTGCCATCCTCCCTGGCTCCTGAATCTTCTGCTCACTCTTCCTCAAGCAGGTAAGGCGTGCATGCTGAAGCAACAGCAGTATCCACAAGTGTGGATGGCAGAGACCGTTCCTGCCGGAGATACTCTTGGGAATCTTTCTGCTTTCTTCTCAGGGCTCTGTTTTAGACTATGGTGGATGCTAGAATGGCCTACCTGTAAATCTGTAAGATGTGGGCCCTACAGATCCCCAAACTGGAAGTCTGGATGACTGATAGCTGGCTTTTCCGTAGTGCTGTCTTTACCTCATGTGCAAGTTAGATAAGACTCTGGGCCATGGGGACTCAGCAATATTCAGTTTCACTATAATAAGTGGTCACAAAAGTCTCAGCTTGTCCCATGAAATCTGTTATTTGTCATTTATGTGTATAGGCATTGTTGCATGCCTATGTTTTGCAGTTGGGGTTTTATTTTCAGAAGCCTATAGGCATAGGTACTTCTTTTGTACCACAAGAAGGAATATTGGCATACAGATAGCAGAAGACCCCTGCTGCCCAACGCAGCCAGTACTGACCTATCTGACTATGCACTGCTTGTCCTGTGTACAGTGTGTCCACTTACTGTTTTTCTCTGTATCTTTTTTCTACTTGCTGATTACATTTAGTAAGCAGGTAAAAGAATTTTCTAGAAATGAACCTCTCAGAAAGATTTCTTGGACCACTGAAAGAGATACTTTACCTTCTTCCTTGAGTAAAGGCGACTCTTTAGAAGACAGATCCTCTTCAATGGCATGCTTTACTGTGGCAGGAAACCACACACATTATGCTGACCTCTGCCCACCCCCTTTGGACCTCCCTTTATTTTTGTTCTCATGTGAGAATCTCAGTCAAGCAACTCCCACCCAGAGTAGAAACTAAGGCATGTAAATATCGACTACACATGTATAATCTCTTAAGCATTTGCCTCTTTTTAGCAAAGAAACCCTTTTTAGATCACTGTCATGATAGTGTATATTTGGAGCCTCATTGTTGATCACATAATGACGAGCCTGAAATTACAGCTAAGAAGGGACTCTCTGGTTGTTTAAACCTCCTTCCCAAATCCACGAAACCAATCACTAGAAATGTGCGGCGGACTTCTCGACCAGCAAGAAAGAACAACCACCACATGAGGATTCTTCTCAGATCACGCTTTACTGGAGTGCCCTTGGTTGAGGGGAGCAGGAAGCGAAGGGGCAGGAAATGAGGGGCAGGAAGCGAGGGGCAGGAAACGAGAGAGAGGCCCAAGAGCACTAAAGCAGCTGCTTATATGGGGAATTGGCACACGGGTCGCCCTGTAATTGGCTGCCACCATCAGCTGACACCAGACTGCATCAGGATAGGCCCAAGGACCCTTATCCACTGCGCATGCGGGAAGCAGGGGACACGCAGCTCCCAAAGGCAGAGCCAAATATGGAGTTGTTTATTTCCAACAAGACAGGATGTCGGCGCCATCTTGTAATGGCGATCCTGTCTGGCTCACTACAGAAATGTTGACTCCTTGTCTTCATCCCAAGAATAAAAAAAATCTTTCTTTCTTCTTCTCTTCTTCTTCTTCCTCTTCCTCCTCCTCCTCCTCCTCCTCCTCCTCTTCCTCTTCTTCTTCTTCTTCTTCTTCTTCTTCTTCTTCTTCTTCTCCTTCTCCTTCTTCTTCTCCTTCTTCTTTTTCTTCTTAGATTTACCTGTGTTTGCCAGAATGCCTGAACTTCTCAGCAGCATACTCAATGTGAGTAAGGTATTCCAGAAATATGCTGAACACCACGGGGAATACGCTTCATTGAACAAGATGGAGTTGAAGCAGCTGCTTCTCACTGAGTTTGGAGACATCCTTCGGGTAAGATACACAGACTCTTGATCCTGTGGAGTGGGATGCATGACTCTTATGTCAGCATCCAGGATATCTTATCAATATTTTGTTTTATTTAGTCATTTCCCACCAGTAATGTACTGGTAAGCACCTTCCAGTTCTACAGCTTCTCAGTAGTTCTTACACACACACACACACCTCCTTCTTTTTATGTAAACAAAACACAGAACAACTTCAAAGTAATGGAGAATAACTTTTTTTAAAAAAATGCCATTCATGTTTCTATATGTAATTCTGTATACACACTATCTTATACATTTGTGCAATAATTCATTAAAGATTCATTGAGTACCTACTCCATGCTGGTACAATCCCAGACTCTGAGAATACAAACACAAAGAAAACTAACTTCTTTTCCATTGAGAGTGTCACAGTGTAGAGAGAAAGAGGTTTATAAACAGGTAGGCTGTACTATGTAAAAAGATAACAATTTAGCCGGAGGGTGGTGGTGCACAACTTTAATCCCAGCACTCAGGACACAGAGGCAGGTGGATCTCTGTGAGTTCGAGACCAGCCTGGTCTACAAAAGCTAGTTCCATGACAGGCTCCAAAGCTACTGAGAAACTCTGTCTTGAAAAACCAAAAAGAAAAAGAAAAGATAATAACTGTCTCGAATGATTCAAATTCAAATGATTCAAATTTGCTGTTAATATGGTTGTCTGTTCCCTGTGGTCATAACCCCCATTGGTTCATTAAGGGATGAGGTTCACCGAAAATAAACTAACCAAAGATTAGAACCAGAACAAGCCACTTAACAATAATAGTTTCTCAGAAAGAAGGAAGGAAGGAAGGAAAGAGGGAGGGAGGGAGGGAGGGAGGGAAGTAGAAGGGGAGGGAGGGAGAAAAAGAAAGAAAGAAAGAAAGAAAGAAAGAAAGAAAGAGGGAGGGAGGGAGAGAGAGAGAGAGAGAGAGAGAGAGAGAGAGAGAGAAAGAAAGAAAGAAAGGGAAAACCTGTTTGGGAGTGGATTGGGACATTAAGACTGATGTATAATCCAACATTCATAAAAGGATATTTGGGGGTTTTTCCCTGTTTTTCTTACAGAGACCAAATGACCCAGAGACTGTGGAAACCATTCTGGAACACTTGGACCGAGACAGAAATGGATATGTTGATTTTCGTGAATACCTCTTGTTGGTGTTCCAATTGGTCCAAGCTTGCCATCGTAAACTAGATAGTAAGTCATGTGGAGGTAAAACCTCCTCCCAGAAAGAACGGGGTCAGAAAGGAACACAGAGCCATAAGTTTTCTGAAAACACAGGCAGACAGCCTAGGCAGTCTGAAGGACAAAGTCAGGACGTCCAAGAACATAAGGACTCGCACCAGGGTCAGGCAGAGAGACAAGACACAGATTATAGCTCTGATCAGTCTGAGACAGACGATCAGCACTCTAGCCCTGATCAAAGACTGAGTCATAAATCTAGCAACTACCGACCCAAAAGTCAAGGATATATCTTTGCCTTAAATCAGCCTGAGATCCCAGCTCAGGTTTCTCATTATGGCCAGTCTAAAACATTTGGACGAAAAAGCAGCAATGGCCGGTCTGGAAGACTCCGACAAGATTCTTACTCTAGTCAAACCAGTCAACAAGAAGCTGGTTCTTATGAACAATATGGAAAACAGTATCAGAAATCAGGCAACAGTCAGACAGACAAACAGGTCCAGAATTCTCGCTATGGTCAGTCAGACAAACAAAAACATACGTTCCAACATGGTCAGACAGATGGACAAGGTCAGAGCAAAGGCCAGAATTTTCATTATGGTCAGACAGGCATTAAAGGACAGAGTTCTCACCAGGGTCAGACAGGCATCAAAAGCCAGAGTTCTCACCAGGGTCAGACAGGCATCAAAAGCCAGAGTTCTCACCAGGGACAGACAGGCATCAAAGGCCAGAGTTCTCACCAGGGTCAGACAGGCATTAAAGGTCAGAGTTCTCACCAGGGTCAGACAGGCATTAAAGGCCAGAGTTCTCACCAGGGTCAGACAAACAGACAAAACCAGAGTTCTTACCAGGGTCAGACAGGCAGACAAGACCAGGGTTGGCATCGAACAGACAGTCAAGGCCAGGGTTTCCAGTATGATCAGACAGGCAGACAAGGTCAGAGTTCTCACCAGGGTCAGACAGACAGACAAGAGAGTTCACGTTGGCATCGGACAGACAGTCAAGGCCAGGGTTTTCAGTATGATCAGACAGGCAGACCAGGTCAGAGTTCTCACCAGGGTCAGACAGACAGACAAGAGAGTTCACATTGGCATCGGACAGACAGTCAAGGCCAGGGTTTTCAGTATGATCAGACAGGCAGACAAGGTCAGAGTTCTCACCAAGGTCAGATAGACAGACAAGGCCAGAGTTCTCACCAGGGTCAGACAGACAGACAAGACCAGAGTTCTCACCAGGGTCAGACAGACAGACAAAACCAGAGTTCTTACCAGGGTCAGACAGGCAGACAAGACCAGGGTTGGCATCGAACAGACAGTCAAGGCCAGGGTTTCCAGTATGATCAGACAGGCAGACAAGGTCAGAGTTCTCACCAGGGTCAGACAGACAGACAAGAGAGTTCACGTTGGCATCGGACAGACAGTCAAGGCCAGGGTTTCCAGTATGATCAGTCAGGCAGACAAGGCCAGAGTTCTCACCAGGGTCAGACAGACAGACAAGACCAGAGTTCACGTTGGCATCGGACAGACAGTCAAGGCCAGGGTTTTCAGTATGATCAGACAGGCAGACAAAGCCAGAGTTCTCACCAGGGTCAGACAGACAGACAAGACCAGAGTTCACGTTGGCATCGGACAGACAGTCAAGGCCAGGGTTTTCAGTATGATCAGACAGGCAGACAAGGCCAGAGTTCTCACCAGGGTCAGACAGACAGACAAGACCAGAGTTCACGTTGGCATCGGACAGACAGTCAAGGCCAGGGTTTCCAGTATGATCAGTCAGGCAGACAAGGCCAGAGTTCTCACCAGGGTCAGATAGACAGTCAAGAGAGTTCACATTGGCATCGGACAGACAGTCAAGGCCAGGGTTTTCAGTATGATCAGACAGGCAGACAAGGCCAGAGTTCTCACCAGGGTCAGATAGACAGTCAAGAGAGTTCACATTGGCATCGGACAGACAGTCAAGGCCAGGGTTTTCAGTATGATCAGACAGGCAGACAAGGCCAGAGTTCTCACCAGGGTCAGATAGACAGTCAAGAGAGTTCACATTGGCATCGGACAGACAGTCAAGGCCAGGGTTTTCAGTATGATCAGACAGGCAGACAAGGCCAGAGTTCTCACCAGGGTCAGACAAGCAGTAAAAGCCAGAGTTCTCACTGTGATCAGCCAAAGATTGGGAAAACTGAAATCCAGGGGCAAAACAGGTCCTTCCAAGGAACTGATAAAGCAAGAAGAGACTCATATGTTGAACAATCTGGAAGATCAGGAAAACTAAGTCAACAGACTTCAAGAGAAGAAGTAAATCAAACCCAGAGACAGAGATTCCAGGATAAAAGGGAGCAGCAAAGCCACCACCAGGCATGGACGCTTGAAGAGGGTAATAAGCACAAACTCTTAGCTCCGATACAGCAAGAAGAGCCATACCCCCATGAAGAGTATGACTGGCAATCACAGAGTAGCGAGGAGGGCCACTGGGAAGAGGAAGAGCATCAAAATTGGGATGGACACAGTTTTGAGGAGCAGGAAGGTCTATATGAGATGTAGAACAGACAAGCCCACAGAGATGAACAACGCATCAGAAACAGGATAGGCAAACCTCTGTAGATGAGCAGAACCAGAAAAGACAACACAGGACAACTCATGTAGAAAATCAAGATCATCAACAAGGTAGGCAATCATGAAGATAAGCAAAACCATCAAGGAAAAGACAAACATCAAAAGCATCATCAACAATGGGATAGACAAACTCATGAAGAAAATAAAAGGTATCAAGGATCCCAAGACCAATCCAGAAACTTACCCAACAAAGAAAAAATTCACAAGAATGAAGATGACCAGGGCCAAGGATCCCAGGAAAGACATTTCTTTCCAACCCATGGTAGTGGCAGGTCCCAAATAAGAGAACAATATGGAAACTACCCTACCAAAACAGCTAATTCTCCCAGCCCCCTCTACGACTATGTACGAGAACAAGCAATGAGTGCCAGAGGTGAAGCAGTTTGAAGCTAATGAAAAAAGCTATGTGTCAGTTCATCTTTGTGTCTGTTTAAAAGCCTGAAGTTGTATATCATCTTTCTCTTTTTCATCTGCCTACTAGAATCCTTTTGAAGGTTAGTATAGTACTACACTTTTTGAAATCAGTTCCTTGAGTAGCAATTCTAGGGTTATTGGTTGGGTGAAGTAAATTAGGGGAACTAATCAATCTTCTTTTTGATCACTTTATGGGTTTACATCATTTCTAGTTTATTTTCAGTTTAGGTGATACTTAATTGAATCACTGAATGGTAGAACATTCTTCCTAAAATTTAAAAATGGGAAAAGGTACACTTAAGATTTCTATTACATTTGAAGAAAAAGATTCTGGACTTTGGTAGCTTTGGCTGCTGTGAGAAAAATATCAGGAACTCCAAGAATTATGGTCTAGACTTTGATGAAGAGCACTGGGAAGCCTCGAGGAGAGAGAGAGATCACTGAGACCAACATCTCTGATGCCTAGGCTCCTCTTCTTCTGTTGCTGGGTCATGAGAGCTGAACTGACCCCTACTAATCCATTACATATAGAGAAAATATATCTCATCTGTTTGAAGTTCCTGGTAGCCCAAGTTATCAATTCTGGAAACTTTATCAACAAAGATCATATGTAGATCATGAAATTATATCAAAACAATAAATGTTTGGTGAGCAATGATGTTGATGGCTTTTTTCTTCTTTAATATGGAAATATGACCTTCACTTATGAGCATTTTCTAAGAATAAATCTTCATTTCTTAGGATTGGAAAGATAGTCCAGCAGCTAAAAGCACTTGCTATTCTTGTAGAGGCTTCTGGGGTTTGGTTCCTACACTCATGTGTTGGCTCATAACTGCTGTGGAATATTCCCTTTGTACACTGTGAAGATTTATCACTGTGATAGGTTTAATAAACAAGTTGACTGACTAATAGCTGAAAAGCATAAAGTTAGTTGGGAAAACCAGACTAAGAGGATGCTGGGAGGAAGAAGGGAGGAAAAAGTGGAGATGTCAGTCAGCCATGGGAAAACAAGATGTACTAGAAGACGGGTAAAGTCACAAGCTACATGGCAAAACATAGATTAATAGAAATGGGTTTATTTAAATGTAAGATCTAGTTAGTAATAAGCCTGAGCTATTGGCCAAACATTTGTAATTAATATAAGCCTCTGAATTTGAGAATTGGCAGGTAGGATAGAAACATCCATTTACATATAACCATCCATAACTCCAGTTCCAAAGGATCTGAAACTCTTTTCTAACCCAAAGAGAAACAAGCCCATATGCAATACATATCATATGTGCAGTCAAAATACTCAGACAAATAAAGCAAAATTAATTTTTTTGAAGATCTCATTTCTTGTCTTCTAAAATATCTTTATGAAGCTGAGCATGGTGTTTTGTCCTTGTATTCACAGCTCTCAGAGGGCCGAGACAGAAAGATCTCAGTGAATCCTAGACCAGTCTGACCTACATAATACTTTTCAGACCAGTATGGAAATCAGAATGGGACACTGTCTCAAAAACAAAACAAAACAAAACAAAAAAAAACAACAAAAAAACAACAAAAAACAACTCTGTTTGTTCTCTGAGTTTCTGAGCGCTTACAACAGAAATCATTAGAAACAAATACTATTTTTTTTTTTTGTTTTTTTGTTTTTCGAGACAGGGTTTCTCTGTGGTTTTGGAGCCTGTCCTGGAACTAGCTCTTGTAGACCAGAAACAAATACTAAATAGCCAAAATGAATGTAAGTGCTCATCTACACATAATTTTCATCTCTCTTCTCCACCATCCGTTACTTTTTGCTCTTACCACTCACTGCCTGCCACATCGAGATGGCCATTAAGTCCTGCCAGCTCTACATCCTCCCTGACTCCAACACTCCTGCTTGGAAAGATTCTAATGCACATCCCGCACTCTTACTGTAAGGAGGTGGAATAAGTATAGGAGGAGCTGGGAGGGGATGCTGAAGGCCATTGGCCATAGGACACGGGGAATATAATCTACAGCAACAGCCCTCGCCTTAGCACACGGAGAATATAATTTACAGCAACAGCCCTCGCCTTAGCACACGGAGAATATAATTTACAGCAACAGCCCTCACCATAGCACACGGAGAGTATAATCCATAGCTTAGACACTTTCCCTATAGGAAAACTGTCTCACTCACCTCCTTGTTACAAGGGTGGTTTTCTTGTGCTTATGACACTGGGCCTTATATAACAATCTGCTAGCAAGGCCTGGGATTTGAGCCTCAGACACAGGCATGCTCTTCTGCTTCTAAATGGCACGGTTTTTAAATAGTAAGAGGAGCTTTCCTCGCAGACAGCTCTCTAAATCAGCGAGAGAGAAACAGGATGAAAGGCACTGGAGCCATTTGGTGGCTCCGAGTTCAGGGAGGCGTTCCCTGCTCCAATCAACCGCCTAGGGGGAACAGTTCACTAGAATTCTTCCTCTTCCTCAGTCAAAGCATCAAGAAGCCCTTTCCTCTATCACCAAACACAAGAAGCCCAAATCTCTCCTCACTCTTTTCAGCCCCACTCCCAGCACTCAAGTGGTATCGTCCTCCGCCTCCAAAACAGTTTCCTAATGCGTAGGCTCCCTGTTCCTTTCATAATGCAGACTGTGTCACGTGATTCCCTACTGGAAGTTCTCAGGATTTTCCCACTATTCTGAGAAGAAAATCAAGTGTCCTCCCCAACCCTTCCTGCAGGATGACCTTTCAGGACCCCATCTATTACCACTTCTCTCTGAACTTACCGTTTTCTAATCACCCCGGCCTTTTCCTCCTGTGATTCTAGCAGACACATTGGCTCTCACTCGGAAACTTTCGTCCCAGATATTTCCCTAGTTCAGAACAGTCTTTCCCTTACTAGGTGTATGTCTGAGTTCTCATTTCATTCGGACCTTGCCTCGCCTCACTCTCCTGGAGAAACTTTCTCTGGCTTTAATCTAAGAGAGTCTCCCTCCAGTCTCTGTCACTTAACTTCTTTCTCATCATTTTTCTTCTTAGCACATTTTTTTTATTTTTTTTAATAATGTTAATTTATTGTTTATCTATTCAACTGGAAGAAAGACCCATGAGGACAAAGATTTTTATCTTGGTTGTTATTGTACCTCCTACATCTCAAATGGTAACTGGCCATGAAACATACCCAATAGTTACTATGTTGATCGAATGCCTTCGGAGCCTAATGTTCTGCCTTCAGTGTCCACTCCAACCCTGTTTTTGCACTGTCCCTAGACTCCAACTTAACTGGACAGCTCTCCAGTATAGCTTGGTTTATACAATCTCTTCACTTAACTGATTTCTTGATCTCCACCTACCAAAATCCCACCCATTCCACGGACTGTGGCACCTCTGGTTCTACCATCAATAGAGTTTCCCATGGTGTGTCAAAGCCAAGTTTAAACCCCCATCTGCTTCCTGCCAAACTGTAAGGTCTACAAGTCACTTACCATTGGAGCTTCAGTGCAAAGCACAGCTGTGCTTCTCTGGAAGGAGAGGCGGGAGCTGAAATGAAAAGCTTTGTGCAAACTGAAGGCCTTGTCTTATTACCAAGTTTATGACCTTAGAGAAACTCTCTCTTCAAGTCTTAGTTCCCTCATTTACAAAATGAAATTAAATATCACAAGGTTGCCGAAAATAAATCAAGGTAGTGTATGCAAATGTGATTTATAGTTGGGTTCTTTTCTTTATTTATCTTCTATTTTTCTAGGGAAGGTCTGTCCTTTATTCTTCATATCATTGTATCATCTAGATGACTTCAGAGGCTGTGACAAGTATGTGCTACTAATTCAACTGAATGGACCCTCTCCATCCCATCATGACTCTGCCTCAACCATGACGCCCGTCTTTGATGCCCTGTTAGCAGCACTTTCACCTGTCCCACATCCCCTCCACCACTCAGGACCCCAGCTTCCCCTCTCTGTCTGTATCCTGTGCCCTACCTCCAACATGCCTCATTTCCACAAGACCCAGGAAGCCATCACCTCACTCTCTTTCAAACTCAAGACCCCAGGTTAGGAAAATAACTTTTCATGTGTCTTAGATACTCCCTCTCCATTTTCTCTCTGGGGGCTCAAATACAACAATTTCTGATACTCAACTCTCTAAAGAATTGTCGAAATTTTGCTTTTCCTGGTCTTCCCTCTATGACAAACCTTCTTCACACTGTTAATTTCCAGGTACACATCATTTTAGATATATTTTGTTGTCTGATGCCAGTGTAAACAAGTACAATGCTGTTGCTTCCATTATGCCCTTCATCTGGGAGGTTGCTAGAGGTGGAAATACCTCAGGCTCCTTTGAGAGCACAGAACCAAGTGAATTCTCCTCTTGTTGGTTATTATAAGACTTGGTAACTCAACTGAAGTCTGATTAAATGGAACAGTTACTGAATAGTCGATGTCAAATACAGACTCTCAAAAGCAACTTTCTTTTTTTACTAGAAATATTTTTCAAGCAATACATATTGATTATATTTTCCCTTCCCAAACTCCTTCCAGATCTCCCCACCCTGTTTTATGGTCTCTCCCTTTCTCTCAAAAAGAGGAGAGAAAAAGAAACAAAACCAAAAGCAAGAAAGAAACAAACAGAAGTCCACAAAAGTGAAAATCAAAACAGGTAAAACGTCAATAAGACAAAAAGAATGCCAAAGCAAAATGAACAAAACCACCATGGAATTAGTTTTGCGTTAGCCAAGTATTCCTGGGATGGGACCTGACCTGAATGGAAAATGGTTTATATATCCAGTGATATTCCATTGAGGACCAATGTCCAGTGACTATCAATTACTTTACCACCTCGGTGCTGGGGCATTTTTATTCTTAAAAAGAAATTGTTGGGTCTCAGGAAATTCAAATATCCAGAAATAAATTCAACCTGGACTATAAAGGATTCCTGGAAGTTAGACAAAATCCAGCATTCCTCAGGAACTTGTGAGACCAGTTCTCATCTGCCGAATGGAGTCATTTCCCATCGTCCACCTTTA